AATCAGCCAAGCTGTCCACGGCTAATGCCGTTTGGACTCCAGAAATTTCGGCACCGAGCTCATTTTTAAATTGCCTAAGTCACCAAATCCGCTAAAAACTTGTATATAGGGGTAGTTTAACATCCTGATTACGAATATGACATTCACTCTTGTCGCTGGCGCTAATGGATGACACTACGATTATCTGCGCTCTGCTAAGGCTGAGCCCAGGAGGTAATCGTAGTGTCCTCTCTTGGCGCCAGCGACAAGAGTGAATGTCATATTCGTAATCAGGATGTTAAACTACCCCTATATACAAGTTTTTAGCGGATTTGGTGACTTAGGCAATTTAAAAATGAGCTCGGTGCCGAAATTTCTGGAGTCCAAACGGCATTAGCCGTGGACATGCTTGGCTGATTTCCGAACGTGAAATCTCACAAAACTCAGAACGAAACACCAAAATCTCATCTTCAGCTTACTTCCTATATAGCGAGACCAAGCTCTTTCTCACGCAACAATACTATCCATCCAAAATAGCGTTCTCTACAGATCCTTACCTTCCCAGCTGAGTATGAGGCTACATATGGTATCGGCCTGATCCCCAAACACGAAGAAAGCACGACTATCTGACCTCCTCCACGTTTTTCCATTGGCGGAAGAACCATTGAAATGAACTGAAACAAGTGCCGATACACTTCCTTCAACCACTACCATTCATGAGGAGAGCTATAAATAGCGAAACGGGTTTCTTCCACCCACCTCAGCTGCTCCAAGAGCGTTGACTTGGAGAATCTGTCGATCTGCCGGTGGGTTGTCACCCATAGCGCTCCAAATTCTTCCCTTCCGACACCAACGCTGTTCACTTAAAAATAAATTTGGATTACTGTTGTAGAGAAAGTGTTTTCTAGAATCTCACAGACGAATCCGATGTCGATTTGCGAAATATACTGTCGAAGACCGTCGTAGTCATCCTTGTAAAAATCAAAGAAGATACGTCTTAACATTGCAACCATATGTCCGTTCTAAAAATGGAAATGCAAATGACTAAATACGAGACGGTCAACTGTCACAAAGGGAAGATCAAAATTTTTCCGTGTTCCTTATAGGAAAGATTAGAATGTAGCAAAAATCTACCGCACTTTACCGTATGCTAAACCACTACTGTATGCTAACGTACCCAACCTTCTGGCACATTCGAAATAGCCCTCTAAACCTACCCTAAAAAAAGTTCAGCAAAAAAAAAACGTTCGCAACAAAAACACTCCCAGTTTGTTAATTCCGACGACAATGATAAGATGGGAAACAAACAATGTCGATATAGCTACGCGTTGTACAAAATTATCGTCGCAGCCAGGAGGATGTGCCTCAATAGAAAAAAAAAAAACAATCTAGATAAGAAAATAGTAGATCTCTGCTATTATATTGCATTGAATATGTTGACACTTTAGACGCGAAGGGAAGTAACTCGGGAAGTGGGAGGCGATCTCCCTTGGGACTCTCCGGGTAGAGGGACGAACATGTGGATCCCCTCCACTCCCTGCGGTTGACGAATTTCATTCAAGAGAGCTTGAACACGAGTTCTATGTATTCGAGATTCTCGCTTCTTGTTTTGCCTCGGGAACCTCTGGGCCCGAGTCGGACAGGATTTCTATTTCAACGATTTCCTGGTTCATCACTCTGGTTTACCAAATTTGCTTTTATGCTCAATCTTATCAGAAATGTTCTCTGCCAACCAAACTGTTCTGAAGATTTGACCAGCCTTTCAACTTCCAAGTCCCCATCAGCTGTTTGCGCGTCGCTGCGTCGCGATATCGCGCGACTTGGCACTGCACATCCCTGGGGAAGGCGTCATGCCCGGCGCGTATCACGGGAGAACGATTCCGCAGGAGTGAGCGCAACAGCGCGGCGAGAAAACTACGGTTCGCTCCACAGGCGCGCGGCACCACGTACTCTCGCGTGGCGGGAGTAAGTCGTCTGACGCGATTCGGCTTTTGCCAGTCTTCCTGGATCTGACCTATCGCAGTTTGCGCCTGACACCGTCTTCTCCTTCTCTAATCTTCGCCTCTGGCCAGAAGCATGTCTAAGGACAAGTGAACATCGTTTGAAACGATCGACCAATGCTTAAAGCATGGTAATCCGGGCCGCGCGGTGACTCACTTCCCAACGCGTCGAACTACTTTCCACCCTTTGCACCATCGGGGTGAGTGCTGAAACACACCCGAACGATCACATTACCGTTTACGTGTTCTAACAGGTAATGGGACATGCCTATCAAGTTGGACAGCTCATTCGAATACTGACCAGGAAAGGTCAACAGGTCAGCCTGGCCATTTCCAATGTGCTGGCACACCGTTGTACGTCTCTGGACGGAGTTGTGGAGGGTCTTATCCCGCGTGGTCGTTTCACATGCTATCGCGAGGAAACGTGGAAGCGTCTTTACATTTATGTATGGAGTCGTGCTGAAACGTGGTAGTAGAGCGCAACGGGTAGAGAGCGGGTTTCTTAGGCGAGACGTCGTAGGGTCGATTCCGGGCAGGTCGCTTTTTTGCATTTGTCCAAGAACATAGCCGACAAAGCTTCTAACATCTCTGCTCGCCTGCACTACCTTATAAGGGAACCTGCGATCAGTTTTTTTTGAAAGTGTAGACTCCATTGTGGCCTGAAAGAGTGCTTCTGCTTGTACCCCTCGTAACACGTGTCACAAGGGTTTTTGCAATGAAATACCATCATATTCATGTTCAGCGGGTTAAATTACCCCTGGGGACAAGTTTCTAGCCGAATCTGATTTTTCGACCTCACTTGGAAAATGTGGGCTATTCCATGGGTAA